AATCCTGAAGTTATTGCTTGATTTTTCAACATTTTGCGTTAATGTTTGTCAATTAGTATGATTAATGAAAAATGTTTGTGTAAATATATGGTAACCTGAAAGATTAACATTCATTTCAATTATTTCAAACTGGTAAACATAAAATTAACACCATTTAGAAGTATAAAGAAAACCAGCAGTTTATGTGACTCAACCATTCTAAACAAATTTCTGTTCCAACCTTTGTACAGTGCAGCTCACTTTGTGCAATGAAACTTCTATCAAGTTTCTAGCATTCTGCTGAGACCCTGTTTCACCTTTACTAACAGAATAGTTTATGTTTTCCATCTAAATGGTTGTTATTACTGTCTTTGCTTTACTAAGTTCAAGCAAATAAGTGCATTCCTTTCAAGTATGCTTTAAGATCATTCTTTCGTGTAAACTTCATATTAAATTCCAGAAACGATTTTCAATCTGCAGTAAGAGTTTTTATAAGTACTTATCAAGAATTTTTTTAAAAATATCTTAGTATTAGGTTGATGCTGCCATTTTTAGTGTATTAGTTTGAGACATGAATTCACAGAATTTCTGGTAAGATAAAAACTGGCCTCTCTTATATTTGATAATAAATGAAACTAATAGATGTGGAGGGAATAACTGGCCTCAATTACCCTTACAGAACATGTGCCCCAACCTGCTTCTTTCACCCACTCTTACATGCAGCTATGAAGCCTGTTACCAGGAGCAGCAAGCTTTGAATTTCCCATCAACGCAACGCATTATGTACCAACATGAGAACAGACACACACATTGCACCTTGCAATCTTGATAAACCATGTGTCTTACATAACGAAATCTGAGTTTGAGCCTCAAAACACTAACAATCTCAGACTAAAGAATCTGCTATTTTCAGACAAGTTATTTAGGTACCTGAGTGGTTATGCAACAGTCCATGCTCAAAAGGCTACGGTTTGAAAATTTTATACTGTACGTCTCTGGTACAATTTCTTTACATGGTATAGTCAGTCCTGACTATGGTAATGTAGTATAAATGTTAAGTTACTATATAACCTACTCTATAAGTAGTCATAACCCATATACTTCTGCACAGAAAGATTAACGTTTAATATTAAGCCAGAAAATAATCAGAGAGTAAGATTCCACATGCTATCACTAAACAAAGACAAACCACGCTCCTTTCTAAATACCAACAACTAGAAGATTATGAAATTGCGCTAGTCACTGAATTAAAAAATCTTGGAAACTACACTCTCAGTACACAACGCACCTGCCAGGCATCACTATCTTGTTTAAGAAGTACTTTATTGTATTCTTTGAACTGCTGACAGACGAGTAATTCCACAGAAGCATATTGGAAGTAACAAAATTACCCAAAGTACAAGTAAATATGATGCGGTGAATTTTAGTTTAGTGAGTGTTTCAGACACATCTCTGTAACACTTCCACCATGTTCAAACATTTAATCGGTGATCTTTTTATCTGTCACATCACTGATTATGAGCCCTCAACCCAAATGATTATGAATCAGTTACAAGATTTTTGCTTTCCATTTTCATTAGCTCAATGTACACAGTTAATGACTCTTGTCTGCATGATTCTTTTAATGACTTTATATAGCAATCTCTTTTATCATATAGCAGTAACTCTGCATTCTGGTTAGGACAAATTTTGTAAATTGTTTTGTGTAATAAAAGTAGACACAATAATTTCAACTTGTATTTAATATAATCACTCTATTGGTGTCATCAAATAAACTTCTAATGTAACTGCTAAAGAGAAACCCTGTCAGGAACATAGTTGCTTATAGTCCAGCCAATTAAAAGACCAGTATGGGTGATATTAATTCTGAACTCATAGAATTAATTAGCACTAGGAAATACACAATAACAAAAACTTTCATTAGATCACAAAAGGGAAATTTAATTTAAAAAATTACAGGCAATGTAATTGCTTGTACTGCTCTACATAAAGCTGAAGACATAGCTCATTCAAAGCTGTTTAATAAAAAATTTAAGATTTAAATGCAATAAAAATTATAGTAAAATGTATTTTACAACTCAGGTGTAAAAAATATCCTTATGCTTATTCTCCTTTTCATCTTGTATGACCACAAGGCAGCATGTTAGTGAAGTGCTCTAGTCTGAAAAGACAACAATACTCTATTAGAAGTGGATCATTTATCACTAGTATATCCACTGCCACTGCCATAACGCTTGGAAGAGCTCAGGTCTTGAAGGGAAGGAAATTTAACCTAAGCTGTAGAAAGACTGAGGTGATGTTTCTTGAAAATGAGAAATCCTGTAAGAGATTAGCTGTAATATCTTCATTTCCCTCTCCCTCCCAGCTCCAATAAAAACACACATTGACTTCATTTGTCAAAGTGATGCAAAGTTGTTTGACTTCTGATTGACCTTGGATGGCCATGTAGCATTTCAGTCTCAAGGGCCTTCTTCCATCACCAACACAGTAGAAAACTTTGCCTTTCCTGCCAGGTAGGCCAAAATTATCCATGCATTTGTCTCTTGCCATCTAGATTACAGTGAGAAGAACACCATCAGCTCCAAGATGGTGTAAAATCTAGCTGCTTGTCTCTCCGTGGCTCAGGCCAATACCCACGCCCTCCCAACTGCTCCCTCATTCCTACCTCCCATAACATGGTCTTTAACAGGTTTTCTGCAATTAAGGATTTGTTTTACTTCTTCAAAACATAGAAGTCAAGATATAAACTCACTAAAAGCAGTTTTCAGTGTATGAACTAATGATATATTTTCTGTTAGATATAACACCTGGGAAAAGGCATATGAAAGCTGAAATGGTGTATAACTTATTTTTAAAAATAAATTTACATTATATCAATAATTTCTATTATACCAATAATGTGGTCTACAAGTCCAAATATCCTAACTCTGAAAAGATTTATATTACAAAATAAAATAATAAAATCTATTGTACACTTTTCTTTGCAACTCTTTATTTCAATATTCCATTATTTCCATATTTCCTGTATCTTTCTTATTACAATGAAACTAGAAATTTAAGTTTGAACTGTCCATGATAGATTAATTTAGCATATGATGATTATACATGTAATATCAAAAGTTATCAGCAATACACAAAATGCTGGCAAAGCGATTCCTAGCAGGATATTTCAAAACTTCAATTAACGTGAGGTTCTGCTTGGTACAATAAAAGGATTTTTAAAATTTTTTTTACCAAAAAAAAAAGATCTCTAAATGCCATCTCAGGTGGTTCAAATAATATTTTTTCATGTACCTTAACATCCAACAAGGACCTATTCCATTTTCAGTGAGAAGCCTCCCTTATCTTCTATAATCCCAGACCAAACTGAGCACCTCATATTGAACAGTGGAAGGAATAAAGAGGCTGACAGATTTCCACATTATCATTTATACAACTTTAGGATCACAGAACTCCTCTACAATGAATCAGGTACTTTTCCTTCACCTGTTTTAATTAATTCCAAATGTATTCTCTTCTACTGCATTTTTCTGTTGGTGTGGTCCCAGAAGAGAACTTTTATTGAAAGAGAAAATCATATAAATCACTCCAGAAGTGATTTCATTTCTGTGCCTAGATGGAAAATTGTATCCAGTGTTATATGAATATGCATAGCCAGAAACCACAGAGTACAATTCTGTTCTTCCACTAGTTTTAGAGGGATTCAAAGTTACTAGGGAAAAAAAAATGCAGGACTTTGGATAAGTCTGAGAGCAAAGGATGGCGAGTAGCACTGTTAGAGGAGTAAATATTCCGTTAACCGGAGTTGATATTAAGCAAAGGTCAATCAAGCAGTTATGCTAGAGTCCTATTTTCCTCACAGTGCAGCAGCTGTTCCATAGGTGTGCTCCTAAGTGTTGGCAGTCAGTGGTAAATACCAGCAGGAGTAATTGTGTTACACTCCAAAGAAATGAAACAGAGGTATTTTTTCTGGCATTGAGCACAGAGCGGGTAAGTGTAGCTTCTCAGGAGCAACTGGCATACAACAGTTTGCTCCCTTGTGGTAATTTTTTTTTAATGTGAAATCCTTAAGGATTTCTTGAGATTCTTGATTACTGAGATAGTTATTGTTTATTAAATGAACATGTGAATACTGCAGTATTTCAGGTATATGATACGGTGTTGTCACATACTCTCTTTCAAACGGTAAACCACACAGGAATTTAATTTGAAGTCTTATTTTTGTTTTAAAATCCTTTCCTTTTTCCTCTCATTTTCCTTTCCTTCATGCAGACCAAAACTGCTGGTTACTGCTTTAAGTAAAATACTATTCTTTATTTTAGTTTGGCATGCCTCAGAAACCCCCTCTTTGTTCACGAAGTCTGATAGTAACACAACAGCACAGTGTTACAGCATAAAAATTCTGAGCCCATTAGCATCAACATGCTAGCTAACCATGTGCCAGAAGCAGATGTGCAGTAAGGCATAGCTGAAAAAAGCATTAGCAAATGTGATCTCATTCTGGTTACTGAATGAATTTATTTTTATCAAAACAGGAACTTAACTTTACATGAATTGCTGTATCCTGTGTTTAATAAAGATACCAGAATGATGATGCTGCATAAGAACTGTAACATCATACTGACAAGTTCATGAGAGATGTATGCCAAATATACCTACTTTTCATATATTGCCTATATGATCAATAAATACAGAATCCAGTTAGACAATACTTTCATGCTTCATGCCTTCTAGTCTTTTCTTTCTCCACAACTAAATACATCAGTTACTAGGTGCTAGATTGCTTTTGGAGTTACATAGAGTATAACTGGGTAAGGAAGTGTAAGGGCTAGAACTATTCCTTGGTAGAACCAGAAACTACAAAAAGTGCAGAGCAAAGGGGACAAACATTCAAAGAAACTTCAGTGTCCTCTCCTTCTAAAAGAGATTGTGGTCCTACTTCCCACCTTCAC